AGATTTAAAAGCAAGGTTTAACAATTGCAGCTAATCCAGTTGGAGAAACGTACTCCAGAACGAGTAGCACTGCGCAAGGGAGCAGTGTTCTGTCCCAGGGCCTGCTGCTGTCACTCCATGGCTCTGGGAATGGAGCTGAGCTCGGGTGCACTGCTGCTGCGAGCGCTCTTGGACCTGCACCGTGGTGCGGGAGGACTCCCCTTCCCTAGGGACGAGGAAGCAATGCAGAGCCTGCCCCTTCTCATGCTCCGTGCCGCTCACCTGGGAGAATTCCGGGTCCAGGTCCCCGAAGGCAACAGCTCTCTGCCCGGTGTCCGGCTCTGGGCTGGCAGGACCCAGGCGCTGGGGAGGATCCTGTCTGCTCCCAGTTGCCACACTGTTAGCAAGACAATGACAGGAGGAAAAGAGCTGAGGAAGGTTTTGGGTGGGGACAAGTGATTCTTGGGGTAAATATGCATTGCTCGGTGAGGCAAGGAGGTGGGGGAGATGGGACAGTGGAGGGTAATCCCCCAGCCAAGGTGAGGTCTGCTGAAGGTGGCGCAAAATTTGGAGAAATGGCATTTCACAGGGCTGTGAAAGGCACACTTAAGGAGATTATCGGGGTGTGGGACCCCCAAACTAGCTCCCTTGTTTGATTTGTAAAACAGACCATCCAACCTGCTGGCTGTAGAGAGAGCCGGCCTCGGGCCCTCCCTGGGAGGGGGGACGCTTCTCCATCCCATGGCAGGGAACCGAGACCTCCTCCCTGTACCCCTTCATCCTCACTGTCACCCAAAAGGAGCAAGCTGGGGTCCCTCTTGGCCCTGTGCCTCGAGCGATAGCTGCTCCTAGGTCGCAAATAGTCCTTGGCTGCCCTCTCCTCCTCTTTGCCCACATAAAGGACGGAGGTGGGTGCGTCCCCTGCATCTTGGGGACATGGAGGGAGAAGAGGTGCTCTTGCAATTTGTTCTGGGAAGAGGAGTCCTCACCGGCGTGTCCCAGGAATTTCTGACATCTCTGAAGGGACAGCTATCCCTCAGCAAAAAACCACCAGGGCAGCTCACTCCTCCACCCCAGCACTGGTTTCCATGCCACAGCCTCCAGGGCTCCTGCCCAGGTTGTCAGGACTACGGGCTGTCGGTGGGGTATGCGCATGGGCCTGACGCGCCTGGACAAACCCACTGCCCTTGGCAATGCGGGGTGAAACCAGCATGGAGCCACGGGCGTGGGTAGGGGGGCATCACCAGATGGGGTGGTTCCACATCACCTCACAAATTATTTCAGCCCAGAAGTAGATTCCAAGCGCAGCTGCCCGTGCTCCCTCCTTACCCTTCCCTATCACTGCCCAAAATACCCAGTCCCCCCGTCCTGCCCTGAGGAAGGTGGGTGGCTGAGCGCAGGGTGCACAAGTCGTGCTAAGGCTTCACCTTGCACATGACAGTGTGGGAGATGCAGGCAGCATGCCCCAGCGTGCAGCGGGGACCGTGCATGGCAGATGGCCGCCCTGACACAGACGACAGGTAAGCGGCCGCCGGTGCGGGAAGCCTGGGCCAGCCTTCTGCTGGGCCTGGTGCATGGCCGCTTTGTTGCTGTTTCGATCAGCCCAGAAATTTAACAGCCTTTAAAGATTTTAGTTTCTGCAAAGATTAAACACCCTGTTGCGAACACACCTCTGCTGGCTCCAGGTCGGAGCTGGAGTCAGAGCTCTTTGAAGCTGGGCGGGTGCCTCGTGTCCCGAGGGCTGCAGGATGGAGCTGGACGGAGTCTATCAGCGCAGTCAGCTTGAGCTCCTGATGCAGCTGTGCCCTGGCAGCTGCCAGAACACCCGGTGATGCATGCTTACTTTTGAAGGCAGGCTGAACCCTGATCCTCTGCCTTCAGCTCACCCAGCAGCAGATCACACTCTTGTTTGAATGTAACTACTGTGGCAGAGGAGTCCATCCCACCACTTCCTGGGAAGAAGAGAAGAGATGTGTTACTGGCATGGGAAAATTTGCCCTCTTTTACAGTAATTGCGTGTAATAACATCTTGCACATCCCCTTTCATCCTACAGCGCTGCTGATGTCTTATCCAGATGAGACGCCCAGAAAACACAGCTACCACCGGAACAGAGCAAGACAGCTTGTTTACGAGACAGATCAGTGCTTCTCGGTGGTGGAGGGCAGCAGGAAGGGGAGGCTGCCGTCTTCGGGTCCAGCGCAGGCGGTTCAGAGAGATGGCCTGCATTGTTCTAAACCAGGATAACAAGGCACTTCCGCAGCCCCTTTCCTATGGGAATCCCGACAGGTTGCTGTCTTCCCCCACGCGAGAGGAAGTATGGCACCGAGAAGGTTGCATCCGTTGGACACCAGCATTAAAGGGGAGGAGGGAAGCTGGGACTGCTGGAGCTTTTCAGCTCTAACGTGAAGACACCAGGTGATAAAGCAAGTCCACAGTTCACCCTGACTCCTTTGCGGAGTGGCACCTGGCAGCTCCGTGTGCTCGGCACAGAGTCACAGGAAAGCCCAATACCTGCCTCCCGCCTGCCTCCCGCTGTGCTCGGGCTCTCCCAGGCCTGCAAACCAGCCTGCCTTCAACATTTGGTGTCCGGCCTGGCTGCACCCCATCAGGCTCTCAGACTGTCGGATTCCTGTTACATCTTTTGCTCAGATGTGCAAATGACAGAAGTATGCATAGAAATCTCCTTCCCTCCCATCCCCACAATAATCTATCGCTACGTACAGTCTCTTCTTGTTCCCCTGTACACATCCAGTGCTTTTCCTAGCCATGGACACCCGCCTTCATCCTTCCCCTCTGCAGCAGCTGCAGCAAACCACGAGGTACCTCCCAAGGACGGGGAACCAGGGGCAGCTCCTGCACTGCAGTGCAGCAACCAGAGT